TATTGGTTAATAGAAAGTAGAAGTACCAAACACTTTTTGGTACAGGCTGAAATGTCTCCTCACCACTAAATATGATACCTGTCTGAGTTTACTCATGATGTATTTTATTTAGACAACATTCTTTTTGTTCAGCAAAAAAAAATTTGATGTGCAAAAAATAATCATGGTGCAATTGTTTTTGTTATATCTGCAATGAGGCACAATTTAAGTGTAAATGGTAATTGTTTCATTCCTTTTCACTGAAGATTTTAAATAACAGTGAAATGTGTGTACTGTTTGGACCAATCAACACTGTAAAAGCCATAGATTCTATTTACAGTGAACAAAGAAAACAAACAAATCAATGACTTGTTTCAGAATGTGCAGAGATATTTAATTTTTAGACTTACAGCTGCAGAGAGCCTGTGGTGACTGACAGGGTTCAGAGCATTAGACCCAGGTTGGGATTTATTTCAACAATTATTTATATTAACACCAATTTTATAAATGAGTCACAGTACCGATGCCAATTTTTAAAACGATTCCTTATTTTAATACATATGAAAGCATGTTTTGCAAAGGAAAAAAAACAAATTCATCCAAAAACAACCAGGTCAACAATGCAATGAAAATGACTACATTTTATTCGTATCAGGATCTCTCTGATCATAGAAAGGATAATAAATCTGACCGTGACATCTGAGCGCGAAGTTTGTGATCTCTGAGCTACAGATGACACTAACAGCAGCAAGGCTGGATAACCATACCGGCCCGTGATGTGAGCTGCAGTGACAGGGCCAGAGCAAATGGACAGCAGCTCCATGCAGGACAGCAGAACACCAGTGTCTGTTCTAATGCACACGCACGCATACACACACAAACACACGCATACACACCATGCACAAATACACGACCCCTGGTAGAAGGAGTGAACAAAGCCTCAGTGGTGTGGGGGTGTTTCCATGTACCCAACCCCAAAAACACTGTCTACTGCATCACCCATTTCACACACTGTCAGTCACACACTGTGTTTGTGGAGATCAGAGCCTCAGGCCTGTCCAGACGAGTCAAAGTGAAGAGACATCTATGACATACTGAAACATGTAGACCAGCGCTGACACTGATCATCCTATTTCACTATTAATAATTACCTAAGCACAGACAAATTACAGCAGAATCCCTCTTTGTCTTTGAGGCCTTGTCAAAACCAAAATCAATTTCATTATCTGATGATGGAGTTTATTTGAAAGCAAATTTTAAATCATTGATTTTTTTTTTAATAAGAAAGAAAGGGATACTGAACAAACGATTTCTTTACTGTTGTGAGCTCCATTTGGATTTTACGGAGCAGATGAGGGGGTCAAAGTGGGTCACAGCTTCCCAGCATGCTCTGGGTGTTTGAACCCAGATGGTTTGAAATCGGTTTCTATCTGACGATTGTCCACAGAGGGTCTCGATCAGGGGCCGTGTTGATCCCTGACCGTGTCGTTGCTGCAGCACTTACTTGAGCAGAGAGGTTCCAGCTGTCAGACTCGCTCAGGATCCCGAGGCGGAGCAGGAAAGTCTTCTCCGGCGTGGAAACACTCATCCGCTCCTCCTGTTTGATGCCTCTCAGGATGATTGTCCCATTGGCACATCGGATCGGTCACACTCTCGCCAACACGGACGGGGAGCTGTTTTCCATTGAGGTAGGAGACGGTGTTCAAGTGCGGCTCCGCGTCTGTCAGGGGTCGTGGCTGAGCCCGCTTCTCATTGGCAGGGAGGGTCTGGTGGGCGGTAGCTCCGGCGGCCATACCCCCGTTCCGATGAAGGAGGAAAACAACCAAGTGTCATCCTTCACCTCCCCATCACTTCTTCTCAGCTCGTTCATCACAACCAACACTGAAGGATTGGGATGAAGAGGACTTACATGATACCACAACCAGCACGTGCTACAAGCAGGGTCCTCTGTGGGGGTTGCCATGGGTGCGTATGCAAACAGCTTATTTGGGCTAAACTGAAATGAATCAAAGCATTGTTCATAGGAAAGACTAAAGGGCAATAAACTTGTTCCCTTGGATGGATTAATGACCTACCACCATCCACCCGCTCTCTGCCATCTACCTGACTGACAGACAAGTTACTGCCGGAGGTTGGTTTATCTGCAGCTTTGCAGGAAACCCCTTGGTAAAAAAGAGAGAACCACAGTTCTGATGTTCGCAAGTTTTTATATCACCAGGGCTTTTCACAAGGACGCTGAGCAGCAAACGAGTGGGAGAAATGAACCATCTCCTAGAGATGTGATTGCAAAAGCCCCAACTTGGTGTGTGTTTTCATGCCATTATTCCTTCATACATATCTGAATAATTGCATACTGAGTGTGTCTACCTGATTGTGTACATGAAGTGAATTATTGTGAAGGAGAGTTGGGAATTAAAAAATGAAGAAAGTACTTTGAATTTGTTTCACACACAGCAGGAGAAAATTACTGTCACAGGATAAACCAAAAAAATTAACCTTGACTAAAATGTAGAGAAACAGTGATGATTTACATCACTGCATGAAGCTTCACTATATCTTTTTTTATTTTTAAAACGTGATTTGTAGCATCCGACATTACAACTAAATACTTGTTCTGGAGTTGTAACAATGAACTTCAATAATAGTAATAATTGTTATACCCTGAGGTTTGGTTTTGCAGGGTTATGGCACAATAATTATCTTGCACATCCCATGATGGAACTTTTCTTTTGGCTGGTAGTTCAAGCTCAGGGCGCAGTGTGATGACCTTCTCTGCAGACCTATTGTTGGTTACAGCCTGTTGTTGTCCTCTTTGCTGGACAAATAAGACCGCTGTGTAGAACTGGATGACCTGCTCCTGAGGCAGACTGATTTTCCCTTGGCACATAAATAAATCCTCTGATGGCAGAGCCTGAGAGGCTGGGTTTACATTTGTGTGATGGTTGGTGATAAATAGCACAGAGTTCTCTTGTCATTAAATCCTTGTGCAGATTTCAATTATGAGTGGATTCTAGTTGAAGCTAAGACTCACTTCCAGCCATCTCCAATTATTACAAAATATATGCAGTTAGTTTTTACTTACTTATATTGTATTCAAATAACTGATTGTTAAATTACATTACATTTCATTTAGCTGACACTTCTATCCAAAGCGACTTAAAATTAGTGCAATTATTGCATCAACCATGAGGGTGCAAACCTAGAAGAGCAATAATCAAAAAAGTACAATTTATCTTCCAAAAAGCCAAACTACAAGTGTTACATTTCAGTGCAATATATAAGTGCAACTAAACTTAGTTTTATTTATTTTTTTCTTAAATATAAACACCAGAGTTGATGATGGCTATTAGACATCATCTTCTTAACCAAGGTGTTGTTGCAGTAATGTTGGTGGTAAAGGAGGGTTGACTGTCGAGTTTCACACCCAGGTTACTTGCTGTCTGGGTGGGAGCGACATACGAGTTGTCGATGGTGATAGTAAGGTCATGGGTGGGACAGCCCTTCCCTGGAAGGAAAACGTGAATGCATTGTTGCAGCTTTTATTTACTTGTGACAGTGAGACATAACTTTGAGAAATATTCATTGCCAGTGCTATTAGAGTTGCAAATTCTTGTATTAGCTCAAGAGGCTGAGCAAACAAATGTTGTGCTGAATGTGATCACCAGGGGGAGACAGAAAGACATAATATATGTCAGCTAAAAAAGGCTGGTTTCACTACCTTCATTTACTTAGCTGCCAAATCACCAGCTAGCTTGCTCCTGTTTCATGCTGAGCTTGCAGCATCAACATTCCTGGTTTAAAGCAATGACTACATAACATGTATATAATCATTGTGGATAAAGGTTGCTTTTGAAAAACAGGGACATAGTGGATCATCCCTCAGTTAATACACACCTGATTACCTCTGCCATGGAGTTTATGCTTTCATTGCACTTTGTTTATTTGTTTGTCTGCCTGTTTGTAGGATTAAGTGAAAACTACCAAACCCATTTTATTTAACTTGTTGGAAGGGTGGGCCAATGAACTCTGATTTTACTGTGGAGGTTTAAAATCCAAACGGCAGGTCGTGTGTTTTTACCGTAGCATATAGCAGTCGTCATAAGGTGCACAATCAAATGTTACAGCATTTTATTACTTAAGTCCATAATTTGTATATGTTGCAAAGGGTTGTGCCTCTTCTGAACACCCATTAACATTTGGAACAGATTTTTTTCACTTTCATAAACTTTGCAAGATACAGCTTTTTTATTTCTGTGAATTTCTCCTGACAAGTTGTGGACCTCAGGATCTCAAAAAAACATTTAGTCTAAACATTGTGATTGTCAAAGAAGATACTTTTTCATTCAAATTTAATCAGTGGACAGACTCCAGCTACAAACAACCTTCTGAGAGGATGATGAAAGGCAAACTTTACTCACGTTCATATTGTGCTGCTAGAGGTGAAATCCTTGGACCAGCGCAAGACGGATGACAGCGGAAGCATTTGCCAAGAATGTTTTCATTAATCAAGAAACCTTTTAATGAATCCTTTAGCCTCTCCTGACGATTTGCACACACAGTGATGGACATGCAGTTCAACGCCCTGGCCTATCTATCATAAATAATGTTGAATGCAGACCCATTGTGTTGTGGGAATTAGATACTCACCATGACATTGAGAGTACATCTACATGAAGTCGGTAAAATGACTGCCTCACTGTTCATGAAGGCTCATGGAAGGGAAGGGAGGTGTGCCTCCACCAACTTTTGGCTTTCCATGTATGCACATGGTAATATAGAGGGGTCCATAAGCAGAGCCATAACACCAAATGTACAAATGTAGCAAATTAATTGGAATGAAGTGGTCCTGACTAAAAGAAATAGGCCAATACCAAGATAACACCAATTATTTTAATTTTGATTATAAAATACAGATGTTATCAGCCAGATGCTTCACTTCTTACCAGATGTTAGCTGTGATGCAGCCTTGTTGTTTAACTAAAGAGAAGAAGAAGACAAATAATTTCCACTACAGCCAGTTTGTTAGGCTCTCTTCTCTCTAAAAAAAACTCTGCGGTAAAGTAATATATACCTTCGTCCTCACTGCTTTATCAGTGACCGAGCTGTCAATCAAAGGAGACAATGGCCATAGTTAGGACTAGAGTTCATACAGAGGCCCATTCACATGGTGGTGGACATCAACACTGCAATTATACAGTCATGCAGATTGAGGCCCAGAGCTTCACTTAACGGTGGAACCGGAGGTCTTTTTAAAGATAAGCTTTCAGACAACTTGAAGGGCTGACTCTTTGATCATGTTCAAGTCATTAGTGTATAATCAATCAAATGGAAAAAACAAGTGGATGCCAAACTAAAACTAGAGAATAGCAGTTTTGAGTTTTGAAAAAAGAGTTCTTAGATTTTACATCAACAAACAAAAAGAATGAAAGCACTCGCTTTTTGTGGTTGTGCTGACATGGTCCTGTGTCCTCCACAATGATCTTTGCATTGGAGGCTGACACCGCAGCACAACCAGCCTTGTCTTCAACACTGCATGTTGGGTTAAATGATGCCTTCTGTTTCCCAGAGACAGATACACATTTGCCACTTCTGTGCAGCATGTCTTTCATCTGCAGAGTTTGCAAAACTAAGATGGAACTCGTAATCGATCAAACTTGTAATTTTACATGATTTTCTTGCTGCAGGGCTGATGTAGCCGAAGCTCTCTCTTGTTTTGCTGGCATTACATGAATGAGTTCATCCTGGACAACTTGGATGAAGTTTTCTACAAAGGTCGTATATGTCAGGGATTTAAGTTGAGGACCCAGAAGCAGGTACTTCAGCTTGATATATAAATTACTTTTTTTTTTTTTTAAACAAAACAGTTTTTTCTTGGCTGCAATCAGAGCCTGTAGAGTAGAGGTTTGTGAATGATTAGGTGAGCCAGAGACTATATATACTAGTGAGGCAGGGATAATTGGACACAGGTCAAACAGGAACAAGAGCAGAAAACCACAAGAGTGGGAAACAGGACGAAGGCAGGAAATTACTCTCGGGACACAAAAGGAGTGACACTTCAAAATAAAACAGGAAACAGAAAACACAGACCTGAAGCATCATACACACAAATCCAAACTCTAAAACACAGGCAGAGTCTATGATCAGAAATGTCCACACAACAGAAAACCATTACAAAATCATTACAGTATACATTGTAGAATAGATACCTGCCTGACAGTTACATACACAATTCATTATGCCAGTTGCTATAAGTCGTTAAAGTGCATTTATTTTTGTATCATCTAAATGTGATAAAAGGTATAATAGCTCATGGAGGATAAGAACAGCTTTTTCACACTTATAATATTGAGTGGGTTCCAACAGTGTGAAATTATAGGTGTTTTTGGAACCATCATCATTCAAGATTCAAGGGTTTATTGTCATATGCACAACAATTACATTTAGCAGTTGCTGGCAATGAAATGCTTGAGTTTGGGTTTGGGTGGTAGGGGTCTCTAATGAACCGGTTTGTCTTCTTCCTACATCGCTGGGTGTAGAGGTCCTCCGTGGATGGCAGCTCCGTGCTGGTAATGCGCTGAGCAGACTTCACCACCCTCTGTAGAGCCTTACGATTCAGGGCAGTGCAGCTGCCATACCAGGCGGTGATGCAGCCAGTCAGGATACTCTCAATGGTGCAGAGAATCCTGGGGTCCATGTTGAGCCTC